GTGCACACGCAGGACGGTTACTGGGGACAGAGGTGGGCATGAGGCCCGCACTGGTTTATCTCGTGACCACGTATGAGGGAGATGCACTGTTACTGGCCCCATGTTACAGAAGAGGAAACTCAGGCAGAACACCCTTCGGCATTGTTCAAGGTGACACAGCAGAGTCAGGATTCAGACTCAGGCGCTTCGCAGAGCAGGTGCTCCTGGCCGCTATGCTGAGCTGCCCCAACTAAGACTACAATCAACAGAGGAAACTCACAAAAGAGGAAGTACAAATGCCTCCCAAGCATTTGGGGAAACACTCAATCGTGGTAATAATTAAAGACTTGAAAACTTAATAGATTTACGTTTCTGCTCATCAAATGAGCAATTTAAAAGCCTCGAAAAAGCCCATTTGCACAGTGTTCTCCAGTCCTGTCCCGGCGCTAGGACAGAGGGCATGGAAGCTTCCAGTACCCACGACCTCAGGAAGCTCCCTCTGGGACCCTCACCACTAGCTGCGGTCACGCATTTGCAGGATCATGTGAATAATCGTCACATGTTTCTGGGCTGGACACGTCTGGGCAGGACGAGCCCCAGGACCCAGCTCAGTGCTCAAGAACTGTCAACAAATATTTGTCAAATGAATGTGTGTTAGTGACTAAAAGGAAGAGGAGAGGAGAAAAGGAGGAGAGGAGGAGAAACGGGCATGCACCACACGGGCGCCGAGTCTAGACCGATGGCTTCGACTCCTCTACGAAGCGGTCGGACACTGTGTCAGAGCCTCAAATACGTCCATAACCTCAGCCATCGTTACTGATGTGATCCTATTACTACACACGTATTATGACTAGGCGTAATTCATAAAATCCTAAAACTCTACCTTGGAGTTGATAATTTGAAATCCAGTACAAAAACTTATGTTCGCCATAGTATTGTTTACAATAGCAAAAACCTGAAAACAGCTGTAATGTCCCAAACCAGAGATGGCGTCGGGTCGACTGTGGCAGTCACAAACTGCACGACACACAGAAGGGGGAGTCGGAGCCACGCCTCGGAAGGCGTTTAGTTCCAGTGAGCGGGAAGAACACTGTACACCGAGCAACTTTAGCTGAGGAACAACACGCTGACGGCCTGCCTTTCAGAATGGGCCCCGAGCCTGCCCACTTTCCCGGGGAGGCCAGGCCCCCGACCCCCAGGCCCAGGGCGAGGCCGCCGTTAGCTAAGAAGCTAGTGTTGGCGATTGCATGTCTCCTGGCAGAGGTACGGTGTTACAACTCAGGCTGACAGAACACGCGAGGAAGCCTGCGGGGGGCTTTCTGTGACAGGTTCCTTGCTGTAAATGAGTGACGCCCCAGGGAGGGCAGAGTGCAGGGTGGGGCACCATGGAGCTGCCCAGTCAACCAGCCCTGGACCACTCACCTGCGGGGGTGAGCGACACAGCACTGCGTGAGACACCAGGCCGTTAACGATGGTGCCTGAGAGGTAGGGTCACCTGCGATTTGACCCATTTTAATACTTTTCTACAATTTTCAAGTTTTCTATAATAAAGCATCATCCCCCAAGGAGGAAAAAAGTTAACGAGAACAAAGAGACAAATATGCATCGCATGCAACTTGCCCTACGAAGCTCAGTCTAGTAACAGAAACAGCCGTGTACATGAGTGATTAAAACATAATGTGACACAGCCCTAGCGAGAGGCCAGTTCCCGGCTACCGGGACGGCTGAAATAAATAAAAGCGAACGCACGGTGTCTGACGTTGGTGAAGAGACGCAGCAACAAGAACCCTCGCACCGCCAGCGGGACTGCGAAATGGTGGTACCATTCTGGAAAACGTCTGGCAGTTTCTTCTAAGGCACAGACTCAACTACCCTACAACCCTGCAATGTCACGGAGCCAGGCGGGGGAGGACAGGGGGCTGCTGTGTAACGGTGCAGTTTCGGATCTGCAAGATGAAAAGGTTCTAAAGATTTTTCACGACGTAAACATCTGTGCACGAAACATGGTTAAGATGGTAAAGTTCATGTTACGTTTTTTACCACAATATAAAAATAAAAAGTTCACTGAGCTTGATTCTTAATAGTCCCAAACCAGAAACAAATCAGATGTCCGTCAACTGATGAACGAACAATCGACCCACGTTCCTACAGAGGATGCTGCCGCATGCCACGTGGTCGAACCTCGCCGAAAGGAACTATGCACGAAAGCGCACGTTGTATAATTAATTCCATCCCTGGAATTCTAGAACAGACAAAACAAATCCGTGAGGCTGGACATTAGAGCGCTGGTGGCCTTGAGTCAGTGGCGACTACGAGGGCAGCAGGGGACTTCCTGGGCCGATGGAGATGTCTCGCCTCCTTGAAATGGACGGCGAGTAAGTGGGCATGCTCTCTGTGTGCCAAAATGCGCTGAACGGCGCACGTAAGAGGTGCTGTCTGTCGTGGTTAACTACGTCACGTCAACAGACGGTTAGGGAAACGGGCTGAGGGGACGGACGAGGCGACGCACTCAGAAGCCGTCAGTGAAACGAGCGCGTCTAAACCAGGCCAATAGCCACACTCAGTTCCACGCAGCAATTTATGGAAACGCTAAGAACGGTAAAATTATGAGAATTGTACACGTATTTGAGTCTCGGTTTTGTGAAGCGAAGCTGTGATGGTCTGATAAATGGCCTTTAAAGGAAAAAATATGATACACTAAAGAGCTTTAAAACAAAACATAGACCTTTATCGAATTCAAACTGATTTTATTTAAAACATTATACAATATTTTCATCAAATACCTTGTTAAAATCTGAAATAAAACTGAATATTAGCTTTTTCAAGTAATATGTCAAAAAAGGAACTATAAAATAGAATACAAAAGGAGGAAAAAACATTCTAAAACTTACAAGCAAGGGAGGAAATTTAAAAAATTTGTCTACAGAAGAACGAAAAATAGGGTGTTTAAAGTTTAACGATAAAGCCAAAATTAGGTGGCAAACAACAAACTGGAAAAATATTCGCAGCAAATAAAGATTTTCGGTTGTTTTTTATAGTGAGCGAAAAAAGTTCAAACTTAACCATAACAAAAAATGCAAATTAAAATGAGACGCTGTTTTCCGATTGGCTAAGACTTTTCTCTTTTAGTGAGAACGCCCAGCCCTGGAGAGGGCGTGGCGCGGCGAACCCGTGTCCTCTCTCCAGGAGCAAAGCGGGGCGAGGCGCTGGGTGCTTGGGGGTGAGGGTGTGCCAGCAGCCACCCTACCTTGGTCCCTATAGTGTTTGCGTGAGAACCACCCTTTTTTGTTAAATGAGTGGATGTGCCTCACCTCTCTTATTTTTGTTGGGAGGTGTGACAATGGATAGCATTCTGGAAGATAAGGCACCACAATAACCAGCAATATGGCTGGGGGCAGGGACCTGGGTGCGGCTTCGGAGGACCTGGGTTCTGCTCAGAAGGGACCTGGGTGTGGCTTGAGGGGACATAGATATGGCTTGGAGGGGACCTGGATATGGCTTGGAGGGAACCTGGGTACGGCTTGGAGGGGACATGGATATGGCTCAGAGGGGACCTGGGTGCGGCTCGGAGGGGACCTGGGTGTGGTTTGGAGGGGACCTGGGTAGGCTCGCCCTCCCTGGGAGGGGGCTAGAGGAGAGTGTGCTCTGGGCCACTAGTCCCCACTCCAGCTCTGCCACACGTCCCAATGGGGAAGGCGAGGTGCAGACGACATGTAGAACGTGGCTGCATCTGCGTCAAATCCAAACGCCAACGAGATATAGGGACATGTATACAGGTTGTCCTTTTACTTAACGGCTAGAACTGTGAAACCCCAAGAAGGGCCGGGAGGGGGACACGCACCAAGGCACCACTGGCTGCCCTGCCTCTGGAGGGTGGGACAAGCCGGATGGAGAGGGGTCTCGTTTCTTTCATAATTTTCGAACCTGGATTTTTCTTTTTTAGCCTTTCTCGAGTGTTTTGGTCTTCAAAAAGAAAAAAGGTTTGAAGTTCACAAACTTCGATCCCAAAACTCCAGTCGAAGACTGAGTTGTTTCTATAAAGAGCTTAAAATGGCAACTGGCACATTGTAAGTGCTCTGCTGGATGTTTTAAAAACAAATAAGAAAAAAGACTCAAATTATGGAAAAAGCCTTAATATAGTCCTATCGTAGTTCGGAAAGGTGTCTTACGGGTGGAGCTTCCAGGTGGCTTCTTCTTGGGGCCTGCCCGCTGGCCTCTGCCGGTTCGCACAGGCGCGGGGAGGGCTCGGCCTTTCCGGGGCACACTGACATTTCTGGGGGACACTGACATTTCCAGGAAGACTGTACCTGCCGGCAGGTCAGGATCCTCAGCAATGCGACGCCGGCGTTTTCTCCCATGGGCAGATTTTCATTCATTTGTTCAATAAACATTTATTAAGCACATACTACGTGCCAGGCACTGTCCTAGGCCCTAGAGATGCAGCAGTAAACAAAACAAAAATTCCTTTCCTCGTTTTTGTCACGAAGCTGATGCTCCAGAGAGAAGACAGGCAATAAGCAAATAGCCGAGTAATGTCAACTGGTTGTAACTGCTACACAGAAAATAATGCCAGCTGAGGGTGGGAGGCGAGGAACACAAAGCAGAGAGACCTCTGTCCCCAGGCTCTGAGTCTGAGTGCGGAGCAGCAGACAGCGAGCTGTGGTGGCGCACAGGTGCCTAATTCACTGGCGGAGGCCAAGGCAGCCTTCTGGGAAGAGAAGCCGGGCCTGAATCCCGCAGAAGCCAGCCAGGTGACGCAGTGGGGGAGGCGGCCCAGACGGCAGATGCAAAGGCGTGGACGGGCGCAAGAACACACGCGATGCCACGACAGAAGAGCAGTGTGCGACAGACAAACCAGGTCGCTGGAAGGCTCTAGAAGGGCCTCGACGAAATGGGACGGGAGCGTGCACACAAGCACACGTGCGGGTTTGCCTGCCCGGTACCTCCGCACCTCCTCACCCCGTGTGCTTAACAGGGTGCACTGTGCTCCTTCCTCCCAGGCGTGGGCCTGTGACACATAGCTGTCCCATCGTGACGCCCCTCGCTCCTTGCCCCGTGATTAGTTTATACTGCTCGAAGACAGCGGTACGGTCACAGGCTTGTGGCTGCCAGTCGTCAGCCCTCGCGGTGAGTGTAGAGAAGGCAGCAGGAGAGACTGGGGCCGACGGACAAAAGGAAGCGGAGAAAGGCAGTCATCACAGTTTCGTGTCGGCCTCCTGATCCAGCCATGCCTGAAGCTCACCCTGGGACTTCCCAGTTAAATGATCAGAGCGGGGAACCCCTTTTTTGGCTTAAGTGAGTTTACACTGGGTTTCTGCCACTTGCAGGAAATACATACCCTCTTCGGGAAAGAGCTTCGCTGTGTGCGGCTGCAGTGGGGGACCAGGGGACGGGAGGCTGGGTCCTGTCAGAGGGTTTCTCCCATTAAGTTCGCTAAAGACCCTGACATATAAGTCGCAGTCTAAATGGATGGCGTCCATAAACCTTGTGAGTCCCTCGTAATTCACTCTGCGGCCCTAAGCCATCTTCAGAGAGGGAGCCCGCAGAGAATGGTCCACCCCCAATGCCGAGAGCATCATGTTTAGAGCCACTCTGCCATTCCCACGTCAACGCACATTGGTCACAGATCTTCCCCAAATATTTAATTTGGCGACAAACTTAGTATTTTGAACTCTTTATCCCTGATACCAAACAATCATCCAGTGTTGTCCAGAAAACCACCCGAGCAGCTGTGCCCATCATGGTCCAAGCCTAACAGACGTCAGAGCAAAATGAACCGCTGTATCTCGAGAGATCGCTACAGAAGCCCACAAGCTCGGAGCCTGCGTTCACGTGTCTGAAACCTCTAATCAGTTGGTCACAGATAATAATACCAACCTCAGTCCGAAACAGAGCTTCAAATCTTTAAATCCATGAATTGGAAAGATGCTCGGATCACACGGTAATAGTGTAAAACAGCTAGGCTTGAGGGGGCCTTTGTGCCTTAAGCGATGGGTCTCCTTCTGGTGGAAATGACAATACTTTAAGAATTTCCTTCCTTCCACGGGCATTTACCAAATACCTACTGTGTGCCCGCGATGCCCGCTGTGTGCCTGTGAGCCTCTCCTTTATCTCTGGGTGAAAAGGCCAATCTCGTTTCACATCTGGACCACGCTGGGTAAAATAAAAGATAATGTATCACTGGACAATTTGAGATGTTATTCTTACAGCAAATATCGGCCCTCTCAACTCTGCTTACGCCTCCCTCCCCCCACTGCGTGGGTTCACAATGCCAGGACTCTGGCCACTGAGAAATCACAAGACTCAAACTACGTGGCCTGAGGGCCTGGGTTCAAATTCTAGTTCTGCTTTATCATATCTGGCGGAATAGCAAACATCCAAAATAGCAGAAAGTTCCCCTGCTTCTCAAGCAGCTGTACCAATGGGAAACCTTCCGCAAGGGAGCAAGTTCAAGTGCGTGCCGGCTGTGCTCTAATAATAGCCAGACACTTCAACTTCTGACAACAACCCTGCAAGGTAGATATAATTATCCTCATTTTGTAGATATGACCAAGTAAGAGTAGAGAGGTTAAATAACGCACTCGGTGTCACACAGCTGGCGAATGGCAGACCCGACTCCGAGTTCATGCCTCTTCTCCGTTTCCCTGCCCCCACACAGCGAGCACTCAACTGTTTGTCACATAATGAAATAACGAAACGATATTCCAGGACCTCTGCAACCATGGGCACGAGGCTTCTTTGGTAAAGGAAGAAGTTGGCATCATCACTCACGTTTGCCCGACAATTTGATGCTCCTGCGTTCTCTGCTCCCGAAGACCTGTTCGGGCAAATCCAGCCTCCGTCGCCGGCCACCGCCACTGAGCAGGCCTGCGTGCACGTCCCCTCCCTGAGCCGCTCAGGCTCCGCTCCCGCTAACCGCACGCTGGGACTCCCCCACTCTGCATTTTCAATCCAACGACAGGTGTCCCTTTTCGAAAGGCAAGTTTCCCAAACTGGGACACCAACACGGAACACCTGAGGCAGGCTGACCCTCCAGTGGGGCGCCCGAGTCGAGCCGAACAGATGAAGGAAGGGCAGGTGACGCAAGCAGGCCTCCCGCACCAGGGCCGGACCGAGGCAGAGCGCGGCGGCCGTGACCCCGCAGTGGGCTCTGCCCGGCGGCCGCCTACGCCATCCCTGTGTTCGGCGCGCCGAGGGCGGCGGGTGTTATCCCGGGGATGCGGCG